ATCACTTATAGAGCGCTATTTACAATGACAGATCAACAGCGCTTTACAATCAATCCTAACCCGCCCATCCCACCCCAGGGGAGGACATCCATCACACAGTAATCTCGTGGGTGGGAAATTAACGTCTCCTACCCCTAACCCTGTAGGAGACGGGACCTCCATTTATTCGTCCCTATCCGAGAAGACTAGAATATCTAACGATTTCTTGATATTATAGAAAGGATGCATATTCTTCTCAATTATTTTAAGACCTTGAGTGTTGGTCCGGCCGGGGCTCGAACCCTCGACCTCCTGCACAACAGTCCAGCGCTCTATCTATTGAGCTAACCGGGAGGCCATAAAGGATTTTAACTCTCTTAGCCAAGCAATCAGGCAATCCGTCAATCTTAACATATTTAAACGTAGTCTTTTAAACTTGTCACTTATGGAGTTTCCTACCATGTTATTTTTAAATCTGTGATCCATATGAATTTTAACTTAATAAGTTGTTTTTGTTTTTATATATTTTATATATTTTTAGTTTTAATGTGCGAAAGTATTTTTTTGTTTTGCTTTTTGTTGGAGATCCTTTTTGAAAAGCATAATTTATATGAATAAGTCATCCCAAGAAGGATTATTATTAAGACTTGACGGTGGATTTCGTTGTGCATTCATTTGTGGTGAATATTATCGAAAGCAGTACACGCACACTTAAGTTGTTGTTCTTTACTTAGCTGTCGAGAGAAGCAACTGAGCTCTAGAAGACTTCAATTTAATTCAATCGTACCGATTTCTGAATCGTCATGTGAAATATGTAAAATAACTATGTTAAGCACATCGAATAGTGCGTTGCTCACACCAATGAAATCACCGAATTAGGGTAAGCATGTTGTACCAATCAGATCGCTGCATCAGGCTATGTGTCTCGCATCACGTGTCCTTTCCTTTTCAACAACTTGAACAACTTGCATTTGATCACGTATTCCTCACGCATTTGGCAACAGGCAAAAAAATAGCGTTGTTATACCCACCGAAAATGACCTTTAATATATGATAATTTCCTCTTCGTTCAATATATTTTCACTTGATCGAGGAAGGGAGACCGCAAAATATATTTGTTAAGAGGTTACTGGAGATAAAATAGATTCTTAGTTGGGCACAATAGCTTATCTAAGATATGTACTTCTGCTGTAATTAGAACCTTTATCATTTCTGATGTATTTTCACAGAGCCGCTACTGGTGTTAATAGAATATGTTCCTTTTGGAGACCTGCTGGGTTACTTGAGAAAGAGCCGTGGATTAAATGATACTTACTACAAAGACCCGGATATAAAACCACAAGCAAACTTGAGGCCACAGCAGCTGATGAAGTTCGCTTGGCAAATCGCTGATGTAATGAGTTGCTTCTCGTCGAGATCTGTAAGTTTAAGAATTTTTGGAACTTTTTGTTAGATGAAATCAGATAACAGTTTTGCTTATTTAAACATTTACATAACATGTAACTGATGAATTTCTTACCTGACGAGTAGTTAAGTGTTTATTCTTCAGAGATATGCCTCTGGGTCCTTATATCTCCTGAGGGGCCAATGAAAAATGTCATTTATATTTCTAAGTTGGGGCAAATGATCAGAATTGGTTCCTTTGTTTGTTTGTTACAGTAGGAATTTCGGAATTCATTGATTTTTTGTAGCTACTTATACGAGAGGTGAAGCTACACACTTGGTCGAAATGAGTGAGTGAGTGATAACACAACAAATATATGAAATTCAAATATCTGAACTGCAGTTATAGAAACGTATTTGTGCACAATCCTCGCAGTAAAGAGCACTATTTAAGCAATAGTGAAAATCAGACCTAAAAAATTCAGGCCTTTACGAGATTCAAACCACTGACCTCTGCGATACTAATGTAGCGCTCTACAAATTGAACTAACAAGCCAACTGGGAGCAGGTCATCAAGTTAGTCCCACATAAGCCCGTAAGATGATAAATCAAACACAACGAATATATGAAATTTATATAAAATAATATAAAAATAATAGCTGCTAATGTGGGATAAATTGGCCACAATAGTGACGCTTTTATTTCACCCCACATCAAGAACATTGATATAATAAACATCACGCAATCTCTTAAGCAAAGGCGGGATTAAATATCGGCCACCGCCACAAGAATGTGGCAACCCCCCCAAGACGACCGCAGAGCTTGGAGATCAACGGTAACAAACCTAATAGAACAAACCTAATAGAAATCGTAACGATGCGAGCCCTTGACTGACCAACGTTACGTTCCACTTGAAAACGATAAAGTTGTGTAAATGGGATAAGCGGAAGCGGGCACAGCCCGAGTAACATACTAAGGATGAAAGCAGTCTGGAAAGCGTATCATTATCCAGATTGAGGAAAAAGTACAGACAACGTAACCGAATAAAATGTCTGTAGTCGTTAAGCAGTCGAGAATGAACCGACAGCCCGATGCCTGACTCGATTCATCCAGGACGCAATCTAGTATTAAATGTCAGCTTGTCGAGCATGAAAGGACAAATTATTCTGAAAAGAAGAGGCGAACGAAAACTAGCATACTAGGAATCGACAGCAGTGCAATTGATAAACTACGCTAAGGCGGATGCACCGCAGGCAAGAACAGGAAGAGCGTAGCAGCCCATGTCTGAACTACATAATGATTCATTCATCACCAAATACGAAATTAGTTGGCATGTAAAGTGCCCGACCTGATGTAGACCTTGAACGCGTCGGACCACCAGCGACCAAGAGCCCGGATTTGAGCGTCGGAGAGACCATTCTCAGCGGCAAGACAAGCGGCCCCCTATGCGAAAACTATGACTTTTATATCAAGAAGGGTCGATTCCACAAAAGGTTAAACAACGACGTAACTCAGAATTGAAATGGATGATAGTAACAGGGCTCCCATCAGGAGAGCAAAAAAGTGGCCCGGGCTGATTGCCTCGTAACCGACAATACTCGAGGAGCGATTTGAGCGGACAGAATGGAAGGGAATCTTCGCGTGCAATAATGATATCGTAAGGCCGGTTGTCTGTGCTCTGTCTAAAGCGAGTGAGCGTGATCTTGACCCTGCAGATGTCAGCTGAACTCGCAAGAAAGCTGATGTTGCAGTATTGGACAACGCTACTAGAACAATAACGGCTTTTGGTCGCTAGCTCTGCGACGCGGAAAAACCCGTAAAAGGCTAATAAAAACATGGTGGAAAACGTAGTGCGCTGAGAGGCCGAAGAGTTGGTATGGTGCAAGGAGCGAACCAGTTGATGGAGATCAGATCGTGTAATGGGCAGCCGAATATCTTTCGACTTCGAGCGACTAATAACCCTCAAAAGTTTTTGAATGACGAATGTTTTAGTAGGATCGTGTACACCGGCTACTTTGTGTACATAACTAATAGCGGAGAGATAAGACGTTATGGTTGCGGGTAGCAAGTTTCGTGCGTTTTGATAGGAAATGAAGCGCAAATCAAGGCGAGTTAGGGGGAAGCTGATTTGAAATAGTGGCTGTAAAAATCGTTAAAGACTGCTCACGCCCTCTGATACATTTTCCGGGTAGCGGACGATAGTGACGACTCAAGCAGAGCCATCAAATTAGTGACCAACTCTCAGGCAGAAGGCTCTCGGGAACTTTCGTGGGAAATTCTTCCACTCCCGGACACAGTTCCTTGAACTTGTCGACCTGAAACCGGGAAATGTGATCGGCGGGAGTACTGTGAACACCTTGAATATGTCTAGCTCAAAACATTATGTTGTGTCGCAAAGAGGTTAACACTGGGTCACGGACCAATATCATCACCAAATTGTTTTTACAAGTGTGATGATTAATGATGTCAACCAAAGCAGCGTTATCGGTGTTAAAGATGACACATCTGTTGGCCATCAAAGGCCCCTAGATGCGCAGAGCGATAACAATTGGGAATAATTCCAAAAATGTGATATTAAAATGCCGCCATGTTTCCGGCCACGCGCCAAAAAACCAATGCTTACCAAAGATAGCGCCATAGCCCTTCGTGCCGGCGGCGTCGGTAAATAACTCTAAAGGATTCGAGACCTCCCATAACTCAGTATAGAAAAAGTTCCTACCATTAAAGTGGTGTAAGAAAGAAAGCCAAACCTGAATGTCACATTTCGTTTCCTTAGTCAAGCGAAGACGGTGATAAGGGCGCT